CATGGCATCAGGCTTACGGAACGTTAGCGATGCCTGACTGTGAAGTCAGGATCCCCTGATTTTTACAGAAACATTTAACAGAAACTGTAAGAGTTGGTTTGCCCGAGGTCACACAGCGGGACCGCAGCGGCACCGGGCCCGGATTCCAGCCCAGGCTCCATCCTTCCCTGAGCCCAGGCGTCCTGACAGGTCCTGTGGGGACAGAGGAGGGTAGGACCTGGATGAGTGACAGCAGCTCGCAGCCCGCCCGGCCTCAGGGATGTCTGGCCCGCTACTCAGGGCTCCAGCTCCCCGGGGGCCTGTCCCCTATCCTGCCACGTGCTCGCTTCCTCCTGCCTCTGTGCCTCCCTCCCCGCCTTCCTACCCTTAGACGCCCTTGTTCTCATTTCCAGCGGCAGGCAGGCAGGCTGCCGGTTCCCCAGGGCCCCAAGACCTAGTGGCAGCATCTCTCCCACGCAGACTCTTCACCTGCGGCCCTCCCACCCATGATCCCTCCCTGGGGTCCCTCTCTCTCCATCCTTACTTGCTGCTGCCCCACTCCCACCCACCAGTCTTTTCTAGTCCTTTGTTCACGTGCCTTTCTCCTCCACCATTGCTTCTTAGCTCCCGGGGGAGGTGGGGGGGGGGGACTCTTAACCCTTTAGAGGACAATTTCTGATTATAAAAGTAATTTGTTGCCCCGCCGATGTGGCTCAGTGGTTGAGCGTCGACCTATGAACCAGGAGAACAGGGTTCGATTCCTGGTCAGGGCACATGTCAGAGTTGCCGGCTCGATCCCCAATGTGGGGCGTGCAGGAGGTAGCGGATGGATTATTCTCATCATTGATGTCTTTCTCTCTTTCTCCCTCTCCCTTCCTCTCTGAAATCAATAAAAATATATTTTTTAAAAAGTACTATAAGTTGATTGTGGGCGATATGGAAAATACAAAAACCTCTAAAGAAGAAAACTGAAGTCGCCCGGAGTTTTACCACCGGAAGATAACCGCTGTTAGGTAACTTTGGCTTCTATTTCACTCATTTTCCCAGGCTCACAGAAATGATTCTGTTTTGCCCAAGTGAAATCAAGATCACACTGTAAGGTTCTAGTTTCTGCCTCTTAAAAAAGTCACATAATCCTGGTTGCTCCGCCATCGGCCAAGTGGGCGGTCATCCGCGCTTAGGGTGCCCAAGGGCAGTATCCCCGAGGCGGCGCTGCGTGGGCTCCACCGGGGGGCGGGGGGTGGTCACCGCGCTCGGTCCCTGCGTGCGGACCCCTGGACGTGGAGGATGGGGTCGGCCCCGCTAACGGCGGCAGGTGAGAATTTTGGGGGGCGAGCGCGGGGCCGCCGAGGGTGGGGTCGCTTCATATTGCACGGGATTCTGGAGTTTGGGGGAGACTTCGCCGCCGCGCTGGTCAGTAAGTCTCCGGGAGGCCGGCGGGCGGGGCCGCGAGAGGGGGCGGGGCGGGATAGGGAGGG